GTATGTAATGTAGATTCCTGTATGTAAAGTAGATTCCTGTATGTAATGTAGATTCCTGTATGTAAAGTAGATTCCTCATATGTAAAGTAGATTCATGTATGTAATGTAGATTCCTGTATGTAATGCAGATTCCTGTATGTAAAGTAGATTCCTGTATGTAATGTAGATTCCTCATATGTAAAGTAGATTCCTGTATGTAATGTAGATTCCGGTATGTAAAGTAGATTCCTGTATGTAATGTAGATTCCTGTATGTAAAGTAGATTCCTGTATGTAATGTAGATTCCTGTATGTGAGTGAGTGAGTGAGTTTAGTTTTACGCCGCACTCAGCAATATTCCAGCTATATGGCGGCGGTCTGTAAATAATCGAGTCTGGACCAGACAATCCAGTGATCAACAGCATGAGCATCGATCTGCACAATTGGGAACCGATGACACGTGTCAACCAAGTCAGTGAAACTGACCACCCGATCCCGTTAGTCGCCTCTTACGACAAGATAGTCGCCTTTTTATGGCAAGCATATGGGTTGCTGAAGACCTATTCTACCCCGGATCTTCACGGGTCTCCTGTATGTAATGTAGATTCCTGTATGTAATGTAGATTCCTGTATGTAAAGTAGATTCCTGTATGTAATGTAGATTCCTGTATGTAAAGTAGATTCCTGTATGTAATGTAGATTCCTGGATGTAAAGTAGATTCCTGGATGTAAAGTAGATTCCTATATGTAATGTAGATTCCTGTATGTAATGTAGATTCCTGTATGTAATGTAGATTCCTGTATGTAAAGTAGATTCAGAATCACTGAAATGCCCTGATAGCTGCTTGCCTGAAATTTGCAAGTTTATATGGTATCGTTTAGCAATACATTTTATCATTGTTCTAAAATAAGTAATAGTTTCCACAATCTCAAATAAATACTTGTGGCCTTATAAAATAGGACTGAACAGCACATTTAGTTTATTTTGCTCAATATATAAAGGCCGTCTTAGTTAGTGTTGATCTTCGTTTTCCAACATGTAAGATAATTAGCATTATGTATTAAGTTTTAAGACTACATGCACGGTCTGTCCCATGTCTAAAATCCGTCATTGTCGCTATAGCTCGTCTTCATTGCCAAGTTTCCTTGATAAGCGTTATGTCCTAATCGTTAAGACTACACATCCGGAGAGAGAAGTAAACATTAATCTATGATAACACGCTCTCCGAGAAAACTGTTAGATAATTTTAGTCATTTCTGCCCTGTAGATTATCAGCATTTGTAAGTTTTGTTTAAAGAAGTGACATTCAAACGTGAGACTTTATCACGAACTCTGAGAGCATCGGTGGTATAAATAACTGCCTTTATTCGGGGTATTTCACTCATGAAATGCACCGAATAGAGACTAGCCACCAATCGATGCTTCTCTTGGTTATTTGAAGGTGTTGCGGCCCCAAGCTAATTCCCCGACAACAAATTCTAGGTGTTAAAATGGTTACTATAAGGTCAAGATTATTATACTTTAAACAAAACAAAACTAAAGATACGGCAAATGAAGCTCGTTTTATCTATTATACATATAAAATGAGTGTAAAGTTACAAAATCAAAAAATATGTATTTAAATTGTACGGATTTTAGTCCAGCTCTATATATACTTCCTTTCAAAAGTTTAGACTCACTAGTGTAAATATGGCCACTTACTTCAGGCAACTGTTCTAAACTAAATTTTGCAAAATATTACATACTGTTTAAAGGTACTGTTTACACATGAACTGCGTGAGGTATTGTAAAACAAATTCGTAACGTTGAAAAGATTATTGTCGTGAGTTCAATAAATAATATAAATCAGTGAAAATTGGCGAATTCTTAACAAAACGCACCTGTTAACATGCATATTTGTACATGCTTTTCAGCAATTTGATGCATGATCCTCGTGGAGAGAGGAAGTTAGTGGAGAAGTCAAACTTCGATGTAACCATATATATATATATATATATATATAACTTATAGTGAGTGTTTTAAATGAGTCTAAACTTTTGAACGGAAGTATATATACATGTATATATATTACCAATATATTTTATTAGGGGTATAATATAACCTATGAAGAAATTGTTTCCATCTTTCGTTGACACTAGGTAGTTTGTCAATATTGCCTACCTACCTCTTTTGGAGACGTTATGCTGCAATACCATTGTAATACGTTCACAAATGCAAATTTTAATGAGTAACAATATGATATATTCACCCGTTCCAGGGGATAAATATAAGGTATTTATCAGGGGATATATAGTAAGGTAATATGCTAGTGGTTTGGGTAAATAATGGTAAATAATTTGGTCGATCACTCAATATTTCCACGATATTAATGTAAAAAATATATAATGAAATTTTGAATATAATTAATAAAATATCATGTGACAAACAAAAGTCCAGATGTACGATGACTATCTAATTATGTAGTCATGTATGCATGCAATGACATTCCTCTGGCACGTAGTGTCTGCTGCACAAGATACATGGATCATCCACACGGCAACAAAAGCTGGATTTCACATCTTCCGAACAAACACAAACATAGTAGGCTATGCAAGCCATTACAGAATTTGTATGTGATTCCCGATATTACCTAACTTTGGCGTCTATTTAATATGATGCTTCAGTCGTACCTCACTTATGCGGACTTTTCTCAAATGTTGCCCGGATAAACTAATCACTTCCCTACCAGCAACCCTCTATTGTATGATGCATAAGATTGTTCATGTATACTGTAAGCCATTAAAAACGCAATTTGACATTCATACTTTCTTTACTCACACCAATTTCAACATATATAAACCTAATTGGCAGATATGTTTTAAGTGAACATCTGTGAATAATTTCATCTGAAAATGTCCAGTCAACAACAACATCAGTGACGCAACAACGACATCAAACAAAGGAGGGGTCACTTGCAGTCAATATCGTGTGTGTCCACCGTGCGCTGCAAGACATGCTCGCAGTCTTTGGGGCAGTGAAAGACACACATTTCTCAGGAACAGCTGTTGGATGGTCTGCAGCCTCTGATGGTCTGTGGTCTGATCATGACAGCACCCCCTCCAAAACGATCATGTTCAAGGACACAGTTTGGCGCAAGTCTTTCTCCTTTACGTCGATAAATCTGTGGACGTCCATCTTCAAAGGATAAGTTAAACCTGGATTCATCTGACAAAATGACATCTGTCCATGTCCTGTTGCCAAGATTGGCCCCATTTGCTGCCCATCGCTGTCTGGCAAGTCTGTGGCGATGCAATAAGGTTGGACCACGGTACGGGTGACGACACCGGATGTTGAAGGCAGCAAGGCGTCCTTGCACCTTTTGGGCGCTGAAATGACGTTGACTTGTCCCAATTGTCCTCCTTGCCTCATCATCAGCTGTTTGGAACCGATTGCGCAAGTGTGAAACTCGGATATTGTGGTTTTGTCGAGCTTTTATCACAGGTGGTGCACCAGGTCGCGGACGATCAGCACACTTCCGGTAGCCCGAAAACGTTGTCTGAGTCGACTTACAGTGGATGGATGGACATTAAAGTGCCTGGCAATCATCACATCTGAAGCACCTTGGCTGACCATACCGATAACCCGATTCCTTTCGTCTTGTGTCAAGTGTGGCATTTTCTCAAAGTGATTGAGCTCCACAATTCCTTGTGCTTTTACAGGGCCTGGGTGCAGGTAATGCATGTGCACAACGTGTTTCATGAATGTGGTTGTGTTTGCGAGAAATGTCAAAGGTTCAGTTTTAAGTATCAAAGTTCATGTGAGAGGAATGCTCCGGGAGTCGAACTCGAAATGGGCCAGAATAACAGCCTTTTATCCCTACATCCTCTGTATCGCAGGCAAAAATCTTCAATAGAATTTTTGTGAGTTTCAGGACAACAAATACCAATTGCGTTTTTAATGGCTTACAGTATATTATGTTCAATACATTTGACTGCTTAAATTTCGAATTGATGCCAAGGTAAGTACTTGATAATGGCGTGGTGTAGTTGGCGTGGCGAAGTTGGTGTGGTGAACAGCGAGGTGGTGAGGTGAGGTAAATTGGGTTTAACGTTGTGCTTGAGAATATTTCGCTCATATGACGACGTGCATGCGTGTGTATGTGTATGTGCGACTGCTTGTACTAGCCCAGACTGAAGCTGGTTTTATAGTGCTAGCCCACTGAGATACCCTGCCGCAGTGAAGCATGAATACCCCACTCAGACACATTATACTGACTCCCGGCCGGCCAGTCCTTGTTGTACCCATTAATGCCGACCAACAAGTACCATATTTTAACGTCTTTTGGTATGACGCGGTCGGGGATCGATCCCGCGACCTTCCGCTCTCCGGGCGGACGCTCTAACCACTACACCACGGAGGCGGTCAACGGCGATTAGAGTTCTATGGATATACAACTTCTTTAATGTTGATATGAGCGACGTTTCGGTACGCTACTAACACCGTTATCATGCATGTACTTGATATAGCAAGTACAAGAAGTTGCATATCCATAGAACTCTCCTTGTTAATGGCGTGTTTCGCTTTACATTCCTTGTTACTGCCATATAGGATCTAAAACTTTCGGATAGTTTCAACATTGAAATTTTGAAATATGAGCATATCCTTGGGCTGTAATATGTAGATCAATTCGTATATAACTTCGGATATCAATTGTACGTATCTAGTTTGTATGATAATTTCCAAATGTATAATATGACACATGTGATGTGTATCTTTTTGAAGGCTATCTAAAATATTAAAAACCTAAGACTCAGGTGATATGGTATGCTGTATGTGGGGTTCTCTGGGGCTGAGAGGAAATTAAATTTCTCTTCATTTTTTTTTAGACATTTGTAAAACATGAGAGATATGATCAGTAATACTAATTTGAATCACCTTATGTGAACTCTCATGTTATAGATTCAAAAGCTTAGAAGTAAAATGGTCAGCATTCCGTCGCTGTGTGGAGTTTGTACAAACTTGTTTCCCTCACCTTCCTACCCAGAGTTCCATGCGGCTAGTATAGTGACCAGTCGCTAATTACATATAAACACAAGTTTTACATACCAAATATCTACTTAATGATTACAAATACGTTGGAAACACTTTTTATCTACCAAACTCACATGTTGATATAGTTCCATGAGGAAGGTGTACGTTGGTCGTCTGGTAACGACATGTCGCAAATGAATCTCCTTGGATGTAAACAATATGGCGACCAAATGAACGACGTCAGTTTTAACAGAAAATCAAAATCAGTTATTCAGGTACTTTATTGTTCAATTTCTTCAGATGGCCGTTGATCGATAAGCTTGGGGTCGGATCGTATTGAGAGGATAAACATCCATGTATTTGATGCTGGTGATATAACGGAACATGATGTAGCCGAGGTGACTGAAATACAGACGATATACGGTACTATTATCCTGGTGTAGAGGTAAACAAAGTGTGCCCTCAACCAATGAAAAGTACTAGAACCTGTACTTAATTGAGAAAGTGTAATCCCATATATAACATGTGGGTTATTTGCATTTGCCATTTTTACATTTGTATATTTCTATTTTGTATATTTGTTTCATTTGCCATGTTTACAGTCTTTCAACTTCATTCATAGTTAAATTACATGGTTTTAGACATCCTGAGGATATTCTTGTGTTTTTTACTTTTTGTTTTATTATGTTTGTTGTATTTAGGATCTTTGAACTACATACCCTATACAATTCCAGATAAGGCCTAAAAAAAAAAAGCTTGTGGTTCCGATTTCCCGACCAACCCTAAATATTCCCGTCGAGCCTAACAATTTTACTCACCACATAATAAATGAAATTTATTTTCTGACACATGAGTAATGATAGAATGTAAAAATATTTTGCAAAAAAACAAACAAAACCTACCTACCTACCCTAGTTCTGAAATGTAGGAAATCGGAACCACAACATTTATTTTTTTTGGCCTAATGTATACGCAGCTGCCAGAGTTCCCACTACCCCATGTATTTGGTGAGCTTGACTTTTGTACTGGTATTGTGTGCTTGAAGTCAAAGGAGTCCTTGAGGTTGTGGTTGTTGAATCCTGGTAACCAAGTATGTCTTTATCTTTAACACTAGGGTAATGACAAGGAACCCTTGAAGTGTTCTTCAAGAACATCAGTGTTTCTTGAGCTAATCCCTTAGTAAATCCTTCTCCACTGTAAGATATGAATGTGGGCATGTATCCTGTGATGTGTTGCAGGTTCCAAGGAAGATATTGAATAGATTACAGAAATCATGGAGATGGCTAGTGTTGGTGTCCGATTACCAAAGTCACCTTTCCACCTGGCCTGTTCCTATGGACAAGTAGCAGAAGTTATGAAACTTATTGAGGTCAGTGTACAAAGGACTGTTGGCCTTCAGCTCAATTGAACATGTTGAACAACAGAATATTCTGGGTTTATCTATTTTTCATTTTGAATTGTTTTAGGAACAATGAACTTGATTGTTTCCAAACTGTCATATATAACTTGTGTTTAATTTAGTGTTTTGTTTCAATATCAGTTGATATAAGCATCAGTTTTAACATCATATGTTGTTCAGGAAGGAGCAGATCCTGGCCAAGGTGGTGGTGATGGTGAGAGGAGTCCGTTACATGATGCCTGTATAGGAGGCCACACAGAGTGTGTGAAGATACTCCTGCAGCATATGGACAACATCGACGTGCGCCGACCCACTTGGGCAAACTCCACTGCATCTAGCTGCGTACAATGGAGAACTTAAGTGCTTGAAACTGCTGGTTGACAAGGGTGAATATTTGTTGATAAACGGACAGTTTTCAATTTAGTGCAGTCAAATATAGATCGATTCTAAGTAATAATCTTTCGGAACTGAAAGCTGCATCTATAATCATCTATAACATCTATACAAAGTTGATGCTACTGGAATGGGGTATTCGAAAAGTTGAAAACTCCATTGTTGATCAATTAGTAATTATAAAAATTAGCTGTATATCACTCTGTTGTTGTGTACACATCTCCTTATCATCATTGTTTTTATAACTTCTAATTGTTCTGTCGTCATTGATTGGTTGTATATAGATGTACATCTCTGGCTTCCTGTAAATCTAATTATCACTTCATTAGTGGTATTAACATCTCCTTACCCTCATTGTTTGTGTCAACTAGCTTTACTTTATCCCTATTATCATTGTTTTTAAAACTGCTTTTCATTGGTCCTCTCATTCATTGTATATTCTTGTACTTCTCTGGCTTCCTGTAAATTCTGGTATATATAGCATGTTTTGTACTCCTGTCCTTATATCACCTGACGAAGGGGCAAGAAGTAGCCCAGAAACGTCGTGTTATACAATAAAGAAGAAGTTGTCATCCATATACTCGTCTTATATATTCATCAACTTCTAAATGCCTCTCAAGATATAAATGTGTTTTGAACTTGCCTTACTTACAACATGTGCACGTAAAACACTGGTAATCTGACTTGCAGGCTCGAACCTTGTAGCTGAAGACAAGAAAGGGAGACAACCCAGCCATCTGGCAGCTATGAGGAACCAAGTTAAAGTTGTCAAGGTGTTGTTTGACCATGGAGTAGACCTTGACAGTCGCTGTAAAAGTGGCAAGACTCCACTACACTACACAGCTCAGTATGGAGGTACATATAATCCTAGTACAGTAGTAAAACTTACTGTTATACACATACACAGCTTGGTATCAAATACACACAACCCTATTACAGTAGTAGAACCTGCTGACACCCACTGATACAGCCCACTACCCAGCTCTGTATGGAGGTACACACAACCCTAGTACAGTAGTAGAACCTGCTGACACACACTGATACAGCCCACTACCCAGCTCTGTATGGAGGTACACACTACCCTATTACAGTAGTAGAACCTGCTGACACACACTGATACAGCCCCTACCCAGCTCTGTATGGAGGTACACACAACCCTATTACAGTAGTAGAACCTGCTGACACACACTGATACAGCCCACTACCCAGCTCTGTATGGAGGTACACACCAGTACAGTAGTAGAACCTGCTGACACACACTGATACAGGCCACTACCCAGCTCTGTATGGAGGTACACACAACCCTATTACAGTAGTAGAACCTGCTGACACACACTGATACAGGCCACTACCCAGCTCTGTATGGAGGTACACACAACCCTATTACAGTAGTAGAACCTGCTGAGCTCTGTATGGACACAACCCTGATACACACACTGATACAGGTACACACACCCCACTACAGGCCACTACCCAGCTCTGTATGGAGGTACACAACCCTAGTACAGTAGTAGAACCTGCTGACACACACTGACAGGCCCTGCTCTGTATGGAGGTACACACACCCTAGTACAGTAGTACACACACTGATACAGGCCAACCCAGCTCTGTATGGAGGTACACACAACCCTAGTACAGTAGTAGAACCTGCTGACACACACTGAGAACCTACCCAGCTCTGACACACACCCTGATACTGCCCACTACAGCCCACTACCCAGCTCTGTATGGAGGTACACACAACCCTAGTACAGTAGTAGAACCTGCTGACACACACTGATACAGCCCACTACCCAGCTCTGTATGGAGGTACACACACAGTACAGTAGTAGAACCTGCTGACACACACTGATACAGCCCACTACCCAGCTCTGTATGGAGGTACACACAACCCTAGTACAGTAGTAGAACCTGCTGACACACACTGATACAGGCCACTACCCAGCTCTGTATGGAGGTACACACAACCCTAGTACAGTAGTAGAACCTGCTGACACACACTGATACAGCCCACTACCCAGCTCTGTATGGAGGTACGCACAACCCTAGTACAGTAGTAGAACCTGCTGACACACACTGATACAGCCCACTACCCTAGTACAGCTCTGTATGGAGGTACACACAACCCTAGTACAGTAGAAGTAGACTGACCTGCTGGAGGACACACAGTAGTGATGACACACACTGCCCACTACCCAGCTCTGTATGGAGGTACACACAACCCTAGTACAGTAGTAGAACCTGCTGACACACACTGATACAGCCCACTACCCAGCTCTGTATGGAGGTACACACAACCCTAGTACAGTAGTAGAACCTGCTGACACACACTGATACAGCCCACTACCCAGCTCTGTATGGAGGTACACACAACCCTAGTACAGTAGTAGAACCTGCTGACACACACTGATACAGCCACTACTACCCAGCTCTGTATGGAGGTACACACAACCCTAGTACAGTAGTAGAACCTGCTGACACACAATGATACAGCCCACTACCCAGCTCTGTATGGAGGTACACACAACCCTAGTACAGTAGTAGAACCTGCTGACACACACTGATACAGCCCACTACCCAGCTCTGTATGGAGGTACACACCAGTACAGTAGTAGAACCTGCTGACACACACTGATACAGCCCACTACCCAGCTCTGTATGGAGGTACACACAACCCTAGTACAGAGGTAGAATCTGCTGACACACACACTATGTACAGTCCTGTCGCAGCACCGAATAACGGTTTCCAACTAGAGATATGATACGAATATGCTTGTTAAAGCTGGAACTAGTTAGCTTCACTTTCCAAAGAAATTGCCTCAGATACTTTTTTTTCAGGAAAAACAAGATCTTGTGTAACTGAGATGTCAAAGAATATGAAACCAAAATTGTAAACTTTGATTTAACAAGTCCTTTAACTATGTTTTCAAGCTCTAGACTGCATGATCTGTTTGGTGGAGCGTGACTGTGACACTATGATGGGTGACAACAGTGGCTTCTTGGCAGCACATGTGGCTGCACGGTACAACAAGCTAGATTGTCTCCGGTTCCTTATCAAACAGGGAACAGCTATCAACTCCATACAGGCTGATGGCAAAACGCCAGCACATGTAGTGAGTACACTCTGTGTTCAGCCATTGTGTGTGTTGCCAGGGTTCTATGAAGACTTTATGCATGTTCAGCCAGTGTGTGTTGCCAGGGTTCTATGTAGACTTTATGCATGTTCAGCCAGTGTGTGTTGCCATTGTTCTATGTAGACTTCATGTATGTTCAGCCAGTGTGTGTTGCCAGGGTTCTATGTAGACTTCATGTATGTTCAGCCAGTGTGTGTTGCCAGGGTTCTATGTAGACTTCATGCATGTTCAGCCAGTGTGTGTTGCCAGGGTTCTATGTAGACTTTATGCATGTTCAGCCAGTGTGTGTTGCCAGGGTTCTATGTAGACTTTATGCATGTTCAGCCAGTGTGTGTTGCCAGGGTTCTGTGTAGACTTTATCTATGTTCAGCCAGTGTGTGTGTTGCCAGGGTTCTATGTAGACTTTATGTATGTTCAGCCAGTGTGTGTTGCCATGGTTCTATGTAGACTTTATCTATGTTCAGCCAGTGTGTGTTGCCAGGGTTCTATGTAGACTTTATCTATGTTCAGCCAGTGTGTGTTGCCAGGGTTCTATGTAGACTTCATGCATGTTCAGCCAGTGTGTGCTGCCAGGGTTCTATGTAGACTTCATGCATGTTCAGCCAGTGTGTGTTGCCAGGGTTCTGTGTAGACTTCATGTATGTTCAGCCAGTGTGTGTTGCCAGGGTTCTATGTAGACTTTATGCATGTTCAGCCAGTGTGTGTTGCCAGGGTTCTATGTAGACTTTATGCATGTTCAGCCAGTGTGTGTTGCCAGGGTTCTGTGTAGACTTTATCTATGTTCAGCCAGTGTGTGTTGCCAGGGTCTCTATGTAGACTTTATGTATGTTCAGCCAGTGTGTGTTGCCATGGTTCTATGTAGACTTTATCTATGTTCAGCCAGTGTGTGTTGCCAGGGTTCTATGTAGACTTTATCTATGTTCAGCCAGTGTGTGTTGCCAGGGTTCTATGTAGACTTCATGTATGTTCAGCCAGTGTGTGTTGCCAGGGTTCTATGTAGACTTTATGTATGTTCAGCCAGTGTGTGTTGCCAGGGTTCTATGTAGACTTCATGTATGTTCAGCCAGTGTGTGTTGCCAGGGTTCTATGTAGACTTTATGCATGTTCAGCCAGTGTGTGTTGCCAGGGTTCTATGTAGACTTTATGCATGTTCAGCCAGTGTGTGTTGCCAGGGTTCTGTGTAGACTTTATCTATGTTCAGCCAGTGTGTGTTGCCAGGGTTCTATGTAGACTTTATGTATGTTCAGCCAGTGTGTGTTGCCATGGTTCTATGTAGACTTTATCTATGTTCAGCCAGTGTGTGTTGCCAGGGTTCTATGTAGACTTCATCTATGTTCAGCCAGTGTGTGTTGCCATGGTTCTATGTAGACTTTATGCATGTTCAGCCAGTATGTGCATGTTCCAGGCATCTTGTCATGGGTCTGTGGAGGTGCTGCATTGGCTGTATGGGAAGGGGGCTGATGCAAACTTCCAGGATTGTGAGTATATTTATTGCAGATGTAGTAGATAAGAGTTGAAGGTAACAAACAGTTATTGCAAAGTTTCATGCTTTCCCACATTAAGTCAAAACAACCATTTCTCTCATCCTGAGTAGTCTTAATTGTGTCATATATGCTGTTCATTAACACAATGTAAATCTTTTCACAACTCAAGTCATTCTTGCACAATCCCATAATTATTGCTGCACAGCCTCATAGTGCTTCCTGCACAACCCCATAGTGAGTGAGTGAGTTTAGTTTTACGCCGCACTCAGCGATATTCCAGCTATATGGCGGCGGTCTGTAAATAATCAAATCTGGACTAGACAATCCAGTGATCAACAGCATGAGCGTCGATCTGCGCAAAAATTGGGAACTGATGACATGTGTCAACCAAGTTAGCGAGCCTGACCACCCGATCCCGTTAGTCGCCTCTTACGACAAGCATAGTCACCTTTTGTACAACCCCATAGTATTTCCTTACAACCCCTTAGTGATTCCTGCACAACACCATTGTGATTTTCTTACAACCCCATAGTAAGTCCTTACAACCCCATTGTGATTCCCTTACAACCACATCTTGATTCCCTTACAACCCCATAATGCTTCCTTACAACCATAGTCATTCCTGCACAACCCCTAGTGATTCCTGCACAACCCCATAGTGATTCCTGCACAACACCATTGTGATTTCCTTACAACCTCATAGTGATTCCTGCACAACCCATAGTGATTCCTTACAACCCCATAGTGATTCCTGCACAACCCATAGTGATTCCTGCACAACCCATAGTGATTCCTTACAACCCCATAGTGATTCCTGCACAACACCATTGTGATTTCCTTACAACCCCATAGTGATTCCTTACAACCCCATAGTGATTCCTGCACAACCCATAGTGATTCCTTACAACCCCATAGTGATTCCTGCACAACACCTTTACAACCCCATAGTGATTCCTGCACAACCCATAGTGATTCCTTACAACCCCATAGTGATTATAACCTCCTATAGATCATTCCTGCACAACCCCATAGTGATCCTCCTTACAACCCCATAGTGATTTCCTGATTCCTTACAACCCCATAGTGATTCCTGCACAACCCATAGTGATTCCTTACAACCCCATAGTGATTCCTGCACAACCCATTGTGATTTCCTTACAACCCCATAGTGATTCCTTACAACCCCATAGTGATTCCTTACAACCCCATAGTGATTCCTTACAACCCCATAGTGATTCCTGCACAACACCATAGTGATTCCTTACAACCCCATAGTGATTCCTGCACAACCCATTGTGATTTCCTTAAAACCCCATAGTGATTCCTGCACAACACCATTGTGATTTCCTTACAACCCCATAGTGATTCCTTACAACCCCATAGTGATTCCTTACAACCCCATAGTGATTCCTGCACAACACCATAGTGATTCCTTACAACCCCATAGTGATTCCTGCACAACCCATTGTGATTTCCTTACAACCCCATAGTGATTCCTGCACAACCCATAGTGATTCCTTACAACCCCATAGTGATTCCTGCACAACACCATTGTGATTTCCTTATAACCCCATGATTCCTTACAACCCATTAGTGATTCCTGCACAACCCCATAGTAAGTCCTTACAACTCGATTGTGATTCCCTTACAACCGCATCTTGATTCCCTTACAACTCCATAATGCTTCCTTACAACCCCATAGTGATTCCTGCACAACCCATAGTGATTCCTTATTACAGCCCCATAGTGATTCCCTTACAGCCCCATAGTGATTTACTTACAACCCTGTAGTGATTTACTTAAAACCCCAGTGATTCCTGCACAACCCCATAGTGATCTACTTACAACCACATAGTTTTAATACTGAATAAATGCCTTCTGTACAATTATACAATGGTCAGTAAATAGCTTGACCTGGTGAGATAGAGCACCTCTTGAGTTTACTGTGTAAGAATTGTGTTGCAGATTTTGGCAATACTCCGGGCCACTATGCAGCGGAGGGAGGATGGGCGGGGTGCTTGAACTGCTGTCTGCAGCATGGAGGAGACCTACAGGTCCCCAACATCAGGGGCGACACAGTGCTGGATGCTGCCAAGAAACATGGACACCCAATACTCATGGAACGAGCAGGTGAGGGACACTGATGGACACCACCTTCCTTACCCTGCTTTGGGATATGATTTGTCGGGAGTTGTGTTCAACCTGTTGTTTGTTCAGTACAGATTAGACAGGTGGAACATTAGTGACTGTGGTGGCATTAAACAACATTCACACAATCAGGAGTTGTCATGTCAGGACATTTGTTCAGTCACATAGCTGAATACTTAACCCATTAATTCATGTGTAAATTATTAGTTGATTATTTTAAATGTATGTGGTGTATTATAACAAATATCTCATGCATCCTTCGAATTGTTTGTGACTATTTAAGTGCTGTGTCTCTGTTTGCAGTTAAGAATGAAGTGCCATGTCCATTGTGCTACAAGAGATATGAGAAGAAGGAGTGGGAGAGGACACACAAGCCGTCGCGTGTAGAGAGGGACATCTCGGCTGCCAAGGCCACTGCCTTTGTTTCTCCACTACCTCCAATGAAGTCAGTAGCATTTTACAAACAACATCTGTAAGCTTACTCGATTCAAAGACCATATGATCTTATTGTCTGCTGCACTGTCTGTCAGCTGCCTTCACTTTGCCAAATTCTTAAACTTACCAAAGTATGAACCTGAATGTAGTCGTATTTAGCTTTTCTTTAAGGGGAAAAAATATGAAAAAATCACCTTTAGCCTGGTTCGCTCCCTAACCCCACTGGCATGAAATACCATACAATCCAGCCACCATTCAAATCACAATACAAATCTTTGCCCTTTTTCTGCATGGACTTCATCACTGCATGTTCCTCAGGGTTGTCCATTTCAAAAGGTCACAGATCTGTGCTCATTTCACTGACTTGTCAACAGTGAAACAATTTGACCAACTGATTCAGTTATTATCAATGTATTGTCCTCTCTGACAATTTGAAGCATGGGAATTCATTTGGAACCAACAGGCGTGAGCCAGAGGTTTCAAATGAAATATTCCTGTGCTTCAAATACTCAATAACACCCGGAAACTGGCCAACACATAATGTTTATCGACATTGTAAACACAAAAGTAAACCAAAAGGTCCACACACGTTTTTGTCTCTGCACTCATTGACATCGAGTACGGGTACAACAGTGAAATGTCATCAGCCGGCCGTTTCGGCTGTCTTCCATGGTAGCATCTTGAACTGCTCATTTGTGACGTCATTCCGACTTTATGTCACAATATGATTTGAATGACGTCATCAGGGCTGACGACGTAACAATACAATGGTTTGAGCGATGTTTGTACGCATTAATACGCAGCGAATGTCCGGGAATCGAATACCATTTGATCATGTTTTTCAACCAATCAGATTAAAGAACACAGTGACTTTGGGTTTACAATTATGCAATTCCTTCTGCGTTAAGCTCAGAACTTATCAATCAACCCTCATACATTGTGGCCGACTTGTGTCTGCTCACGAACTAAATGTCATGGTTACACTGTTTCAGAAAAACTCCATCCCAGTTACAGAAAAATAAGCACCAACGTGAACAGACTTTGGAGAACCAGCAGAAGACGCTGCTGCCAGACCGGGACCTGGCTGCCAAGTTCTTTGGTGAACATCTCGACCCAAATTCCAACTTTCATTTCCATCTATGAGGAGGGAGAAAGCTTGTCTACACATTAACTTCAAGAAGCTTACACAAGATAGCATTCACAAGCCTAAACTGTAAACTTTCTTCTGTTAACTGACTAATACAAACAGTAACAGAAACATTCCAAACTGTTGCTTTATTAGGCGATTACATTTGGAATATCTACTTCAGTTCCAGTAGTATTTAAACTTGTTGTGTCTGTGTGAGTCTGTGTCTTTATTTGTGTGTCTGTGAGAGAGATGTGTGGACAGAGTGATATATATATACAGGTATAAGAATTTGAACAAATCAAAGATATTTGTAAAAGGGGTCCAAAACCTCTGAACCCAACCCTTGACCCTCCTTCATACCCGAGGAACACATAGAATCCATCCTCTATTCACTATGCCCAGGTCAGCCCAATGCAGAGTACCCTGAGCTGTTCTCCCCAACACCTCCTTGAATCCAGCTGTTTGATTCTTTTCCTCTTCCACTGTGATATTCTTGGCTGCCTTTCTGTGATGACTTTAATATATTTCGTATCATTATTCTAATAAATCAAACTTTGAAACAAACCATATCTTAGATCATCTTGTCACAACTCAAATACTTATTTCATGGTCTGTCTGTGGAATAGACTACATTGAAAACACAAATATGTAGGACCATGACGTATCTTAATTGTGTCTATTCATGGTAAGGAAATATAAATGTTATCCACTTTAAACTGAGAAAGATATTTTCAGTACTTATGACATGTTCTTGTCGCTTAAAGTTTTTGTGGGCATGTGATTAATTCTTAGGAGGTTAATGTTTGTAGATTTGTTGACACCATACCCATGTCCACAGGTTTACACATAAGTGGCTAACGTAATTAGAAGATAAACATCATGTGTTGGCCAATTTCTGAGTGTTATTGAGTATTTGAAGCAGGGGAATTCATTTGGATGTGGCAGCGCTAACTGGAGGTTTCAAATGATATATTCCCATGCTTCAAATACTCAATAACACCCGGAAATGAGCAAACACATGATGTTTATCGACATTGTAAACACAAAAGTAAACCAAATGGTCCACACGCATTTTTCTGTCTGCACTCAATGACATGGATTACGGGTACAGCAGTGAAGTGTCATCAGTCGGCAGTTTCGGCTGGTTCCCATGGTAGCATCTGGAACTGCTCATTTGTGACATTCCGATTACGTCACAATATGATTTGAATGACGTCACCGCTGCTGACGACGCAACAATACAATTGTGTGCGATATTTGTACGTATTAATACGCAGCGAATAGTCTTCCAATTTCAGGGATTAGAATACCTTTCGATCATGTTTTTCAACCAATCAGATTAAAGAACACAGTGACTTTTGGTTTACAACAGACATTTACTACCCATATGGTGAAACATAACCAGTGTCATACGAGGGGCGATCAAAAAGTATGTAGAATCACCAAGAAAACGATACAAATGCAGTTATTGTTATGTTTTATTTTCCTGCATATTATCTGTCAAGCTCAAGCACTTTGGTTTTGCTATGTTCCAGTCTGACGATCCCCATTTTGTTTGACCTTTTCTCCTGGTACCCTCAAAAAACGCAAAATCTACAATAAATGCATCAAAAACTTCAGGAAACAAAATATGCAAGAAATATTTTTGTGTTTGAGATTGTTAGAAGTCCCCTAGAATCACACTTAGATATTAAAGTAAATAAAGAAACAATTTGAAATTCCAATCGCTTGTTAAAGTGACTCTCCCCCCTCATGTTGTTTTAGAGACACTACCCACCCCCTTTCAGATGACGTAATCATAAGGGCATAGCTTATTCTAATGTTTTCACTTATGCATACATGATGCCAAGGGTCCAAACTAAATACTGAATGGTCACACAAGTGTCAGCTCAAAATATATTGTAAACAGTCTCAGCTTGAATATCTGGACACAATGTTTTTGAAAGATTAAAATGGGGGGTGTCCTTAAAAAATAGCCCCCGACTAAATATAAATCAGGCAATCCAAATCTTTGACTGTTGATCATGACGGGAAGTCATCCAATGCTATACTGAACATATTTTATGACATTATCTGAGGGCATACCATTATCCAAGAGGTACCAAAAGACAAATCGTTTTTCATTTTCTGCAATTTTGTTAGAAATATTATACCCTAATGTGCTGTGATGGCAAAATTAATATTTGGTAAACTACATTACCCACACATGTGAAATTTTGGATATGGCTTTGCTAACGATTCCTTCAAAATAAAATGGAAGCTTTTCAAACATTGGACATCGAGAGTATAGTTAGACTACGTACTTTTGGATCGACCCTCGTATATATCGTATGTGCACATGTGCATATATATCACTTTTGCCTTGCAACCATTGTTTCTGTATTTCGTCGTCTGTGACGTCATTAACAATTGAACGTGACGTCAATGAAGAGGGCCGTCGTCTGTGACGTCATTAACATTTGAACGTGACGTCAGTGAAGACGGTCGTCACACTTGCTTACCGTGTTTTACTGCACAAATGTACATGAATAAAATTAGAAGATAAAGTTACTCTGTTTTCAATTTTGCGGTCTTTTATCGTTGATTTAAGACCGCTAAATGTAATTAAGTTCGGTTTTTAAATGACATTTAGCGGTCTTACATCAACGATATAAGACCGCAACATTGAAAACAGAGTAGCTTTATCTTCTTATTTAATTGCGGTTTTGATGAGCTCTCAACCAATCAGAATCGAGTATCACACATTGTCGTACTAGAATGGATAATAAAGAGAGTATTACACTCGAGCAAGTGTGTCACATGAGTTATACGGTTCAAAATTATGTATGCAAAATTTCACACTCGTGTCGTACAAGTCGTATGACACACTTGCTCGTGTAATAATATCTATCCATAACGTTGAGCATTCCACTGACATTAACCAGAATACTGTTGAAAGTAGCATTAAAACAAACTCTCACGCACTCACGGTCAACAGTGTGTTAACATTTAGTGAATATATGCAAATTTTGGAAAACAAATCTTGTAATATGCATATGCTCAGCCAGACTCACAAACCATTAACACTTTACATCCGATATTACCTATGTTGATAATACATGACATAATTCCATCAGGGACACACATTCATGGATGTCATCACTCAATAAACTATATGTTTAGCAGAAGTACTGTGCTTTGCCAACTATATCTCAATATGCCGTTCTAATCTAAAGTGTCCACCCTACCCAAATTTATGCCCCGATGCTACAAAAATACTTTTAAGTTTGCACACTGAAAAAACGGGTCAGCTTTATCTTTTTATTTTACTATGTATATTACTTAATGGTTTCGGTAGAAAAGCAAAGCATAATCCATGCTATATTCACTGCCCAGGTCAGCATAATACAGAGTAGTAAATGGTTTCGGAAGCAAAGCAACTCTATCCACATTATGAATTAACTGGAAGCCAATTACCAAGCTACAAGTGTTTTTATTTTCAATGTGTTTAAAGTTTCATACGATTAGTGCAAAACAAATTATTAATTCGTTTTCCACTCGCTGCTATATTGCCAGTTGAGGTTGGAGATGAGAAACACACATAACTATATATTGATAGCCTACACAGTCTGAAGTCAGTCTTGTGGTCCATATCTGTGGGTCTATCTCTCACCTGTACTAGAAGACCGGTGGTCTTGTAATGTTAGGGTCCAGGTTTCCATCTCTTCAAGCTCTTCCGTGTTATACATGCGTCAGATGGAGCGCGAGGTGCATGTTTATTGCATGATGTATTTAATCTGGTTTCATTTTTGTACGTTAAACATTTACTACAACGCCTAAACAATAAAGTATGTTTATTTGAGTTATGCAAGTTAAATGATTTGACCATAATTATATTTTAACAAGGCTCAGTAATCAAACCGTTATTATTATTCACAAACATACCTGTTGACATGAATTAGAATGTCCTTGATCAACAAATAACAATTCAGAATGAACTCACACGAACTAATAGATCGAAATATGAACTCAGTGAACTGATAGATCGAAATATGAACTCAGTGAACTGATAGATCGAAATATGAACTCAGTGAACTAATAGATCGAAATATGAACTCAGTGAACTGATAGATCGAAATATGAACTCAGTGAACTAATAGATCGAAATATGAACTCAGTGAACTGATAGATCGAAATATGAACTCAGTGAACTGATAGATCGAAATATGAACTCAGTGAACTGATAGATCGAAATCCAGATAACACAGTTGTTCTCCGGACTCCTGAAGATGCTAGTCTTTGGCGATGATATTTCCGACTATGGTTTTCATACTGTTATGGGTGATGATACATGTCTGATAATATATTGCATACTTTTATATATTGATGAACCTACATGGTACAATTAAATTTAGCTTAAGGTGAGGGACATTCACTGGAGCGAAACAAATTGTTATATATTACTGAATGAAATGTAAGCTTGGGGTTTGATTGATTCAGACAAGCTGCCTTTGTAAGTGAATTCACAGTGGCCAGCCTATAGACAAAGCATTAAAAAACTCAAATACTTGAACTGAAGCTCTGCGTTACTCTGGTCTGGTTAAGAAGTAGATTGTAGTTTTGACTTCTGCCAGTTTTCTTCTCATGATATGGATGTGAGGACAGTATATACACGTCGGTCCTGTGGAATGTGTTAACTATGGACAAGTCGTAACTGTGAAATCATGATGTTATTACAGACTTCGAAAGCCCTGGAAATGAGGTGATCTAAACTACTACCTGCCATATTGCTTTGCCCACTACTTGTTAGGTGAGTGCCCTCTTCAAGTATTACACTGATAAATCTTTGTTTTGTACCAGCCCACTATTTGGATATTTTTAAATTTATGCATATTAAATTGTTCTCATCTAAACAGATTGTTGTGTAGTCCATTTAGTTGTGCGGGAGAAGTTGTAATATACCCCTGTATTACATCTTCACTCGTAACAATACATTATACACATGTGGGGCATCGTACCGAATATCCCGATGTACTTGGCTCCTGAGAATTTAGAGAAGAGTTTGTCAGTTGCGTCGACTGAGCAGGCATTTTTTCCAGGTTTAACAAAGGCAGGGTGCGCTTTCTGCTCATCACATGAAACACAGACATAATTTATTGTTCTCTGTAGGTCCTGGGCCTAACACAAACCTAATACTGATAGGTGTGATTAAATATACATACTTTACTAAGGGTCTGAAGAACTATTCACTTCATGTTAAACGGTTTTTTAAGGAATAGTGTTTTGCCTCTTTTCCCTTGGCAAACTAATGTACTTAGGAGAGCCTTCCTTCCGTTCCCCTACACTAACTCGAGCGTTCGTTGGTTGTACGGAAGCCATATTCAGCTGCAAGTTTTACACCGATGACTGTCAATTAGGGGATTACTGTACTGTGTTTGACGAATTGGGGACGTATACCGGTGGTTTTATAGCCGCAAATTTAGTTATATCGGCGCCGATAAAACGTTAAATTTGCGGCTATATAACCACCGGTATACGTCCCCAATTCGTCAAACACAGTACAGTTATCCCCATTCTAATTCAAC